TTGATCCCGGGGTTTATAAAATGGAATACATGGATTAGATTTTGCATTTCAGGTACCCACGATCTACACAAACCCAATCATTTATGTTTAACAGAATTAGAAGACAATTGAAAGTTTTTTTGATTATGTAAATCTTGTTTTGTAAGCAAATGCACCTTCTCAACCCAGCATCTCTAGAATTTGGTACACTCTAATATACGCTAATTTCACCAAATGTGGCGATATGTGTTCTTCGCTGGTTTTTGACACGATTGCGTGTTCTATGCAACCCTGTGACGTTAAAAATCTTTCGCTGGAGCTCGGGGTTTCCTCTGTGTCTGAGAAGATGGGAGGGAAAGATGAATGGTAGTTGTTGAATTGAATTTCGGCAAAGGAAATATGATTGGCTATCCTGTTGAGGGGTAGTGTGTTTGAACTGTGGAAAGAGGGGTCGGGAGATTATTTTTATGGCAGTGCATGAAAAGTAGGGATTGTGATTTTTATTTGTGAACCATAGTATATTTTCTGGATAGTGTGTCTGGCTGTCATGTAAATACGATAGTGATCGTGGCGGCATGTTAAAGGCGGTATGAATTTATATTTCTGCTATTCGAAAACGCATTAATTCATGGTAGTGCATTTATTTATCTTTGTTTCTTATTTTGTAGAATGTTATGTTCTTGTTCTTTAGTATGAATTTCGTCGTTATTGTTGTTTTTTTAATTGTTTGAAATTATTTAGTTTATTTTGTTTGTTGTCTAATGTCAATTCGTAGATGTTTTTTAAAGGAAACAGAACCTGTGTACAGGTATTATTTGAAATTTATTTTTGTTATGTTATTTTATAAAGCGAGGAGTGCGTAGTTTGTAGATTCGTTCGTTGCTACATTGTGCAATTCGTAGATTATTTTAAGTTAAAACATGTCTGTGTACATGGATTCTGTCAAATTAAACTTTACGTTTTTCCTATCTAAAATTTTTGTTTTTGTTCGGATTTTTAGCTAAATTGTCGTTCAAAACGAGTTTGGCATGTGCGAAAACCGCGTTTTTGGAGATTTTAGACTAAAATTCAAAATGTAGAAAATTTAATATGGCGGAAATTTGGCGACTTGAGGGCGCATATCAGAGTTTCCAAAAAATTGACCTCAATATTTTTTCTGATATGTGTGTGTGAGAGAGATTAGGCAAGCCTCGAGGGCTATCTCCTAAGGAGAGGATGCTTCGGAGCCATTTCGGTTTAATCCATGTAAATTACCAGTGTTCAGCGACTTTACGCTCGGCCGCTGGTGGCCTATTTTTCTGATATGACACTACACATTTGCCATCTGTATTGTTCTGTTACTTTAATTCAGCTGGGCAATATGCATTTTTTATTGCTCTCAAGATTTTTAAGTGACGCAAACTTTACTTCTGATATAAAATTTCCTGAACAGTGGCTTACACCATGTATATTAAATATGCTTACTCCATAAGAATTTTGACTTCGTATTATTTTCAATTTCTTCTTCCATGCCAAAAAAATCATCAGATGAATTAATTCTATCTCAGGATTCAAATCAACATCACGAACTATTGAAATGAATATTATTTTCTCGCTTTTCAAAACTAGCATAACATACAGGACACACATAGTTACCTGTTAGAATTGAATTTATTTTGATGATATTCCAATTTTTTAGGTCACAAATTTCAGATAGCAGTCCTCACATTTGTAAGCTTGGTTATCTCAATTTTTAAAGAATCATTAATGTAGTATTATTGGAGGGTAATGTGTTGTATGCGTTTCAAACTGCATTTATTTTGGTACTTTTAAGCATCAGAACATACAAAATTATTCTCAGCCACACAAAATTATTTGCACAATCAACCAACTTAGAATTGTTTTCAGAGACTCAGTTAATGTAGTATTATTGTAATAAATTTATATGCATGGCGTTTCAAATTGTATCTATATTTGAAAGTTTTAAACAATCACGGCAAACAAATCATCTCAGCATACTAAAATCTTTGCACAATGAACCATATCACTCACAACCACAGAATTATCAGACATACCACAATTGGAATTGTCGTACACGGTTATTCCTTCCTGATTTTGATTCGATTTAGAATCAAAATACCTTCTGAGGAAACAAGTATTTACCCTGAAATGGGCAGTTTTTCTGATTTTGTGCAGAAGATATAATAATCGAAGCAAAATAAAAAGAGAACGAATCAGCGATCACACGCTACCACAGCAGTAAAAGAGAGTAAAAATAGTAAATACAGGCGGCCTTCAGGAAAATGACGACATCGCAGAACCTGCGCAGATGTTCAGGGAGGAACCAGGAGGAAACTAGCGTCTGAGGGGCTAGACGCTTGTTTCGAACGAAAAGGGAAACAGCTGCGCATGCGTGAATTATCTGTCTCCAAAAACAGCGCCAAAGTTCGAACAGGTTTGACGGTCACGTTTTCCACGAGTTTAAAGCTGTGTGACACCATTTTTTCCCCTCCATATTGACGGATCAAATCGGACATCAATAATTCAATCTGCGATATGGATAATGCAAGTTCAACAGTGAAAGTGAAGCTTCACCTAATATTCATCATTTCCCAGGTAAGCTTTATTTCTAGGGTTTTCATCCGCAGAGAACCCGTTGGCGCTTCGGGAAAGAACCCTTTGGCGTTGCAGTTTTACTCGCCGATGAGCCGAGCAGTAACGCGTGATATTTTGTAAACGGTTTTAGTGATGTAATTCAAGTTAGCAGACAAGGTAGTAAAAATTCACAGATAATAAGTATGTAGATATAAAACTAACAGGTACGTGATATACGAAAATAAATTTCTATTAAATTCAAGTTAGCACAGAAAACAATGTTGAACATAACGGAAGTAAAATTCATTTAAAAATAACAATTAATTCTTATGCTTACGTTTACAATATACTTTATATGTATTTCGAACTACTCGATATGGCCCTCAGTCGCCGAATTTCTCGCCAAATATTTTTCGCGAGAACTTCACTCCATTACTATCTAAATTTTTGTCTACATTTTGAACTTTTAGTCTAAATGTCTCCAAAAACGCGGTTTTCGCACATGCAAAAACTACGTTTGAACGCACAATTTAGCTAAAAATCCGAAACAAAACAAAAAATTAGATGGAAAAACGTAAATTTAATTTGACAAAATCCATGTACACAGCGACATGTTTTAACTAAAAATAACGGATTGCAAAGGGGCAACGAACGAATCTACAAATACGCACTCCTCGCTTTAATAAATAACATAACAACAATAAATTTCAAATAATACCATGTCACAGCGTTCTGTTTCAACTTTAAAAAAAACATCTACGATTGTACAGTCTGGACAAAAAAAAAAAGAACTAAATAAATTTAACAATTTAAAAAAACCACAAACGACAGAAATTCATACTAAAGAACCAATGAACAAACATTCTACAAAATAAGAACAGATAAAATAAAATGCACTTACCATGATTAAGCGTTTTCGAATAGCAGAAATATAAATTTCTACCGCTTTACATGCCGCACGTAATCACTATCGTATTTACTGACGCCAGACACACATCCAGAAAATTATACTTGGTTCACAAATAAAAAAATCACAAATCCCTACTTTATCATGCAGCCTTAAACATAATCCCCAGAACCTCTTTCCACAGTTCCAATACACTCCCCTCAACAGGATAGCCACAATCATATTTCCTTTTGCCGAACTTCAATTCAACAACTACCATTTCCCTCCATCTTCTCAGACAGAGGCAAACCAACGAGCTCCAGCGAAAGATTTTTCACGTCAAAGGGTTGCCATAGAACACGCATTCGCGCCAAAAAGCAGCGCAGAACACATATCGCCACATTTGGTGAAATTAGGGCGTATTAGAGTTGTACCGTATTTCCTAATTCATATAAATACTAATATTTCTATTACAAATGTCTTTTTTCACTATTAAGTAACTTTGCCTGTGAATTGATGTATTCGGTAAGGCCATACCCATGTAATAAATAATGAATGATGATCTTTAATATATCCATTTTACTAGTTTTAAGTATTTTTTTTTCAAGTTACTTGCATACACTTAAAAGCATTTACGTTAAACAAATACCTATCCTTTTTCATAATATTTCACAATACAAATAACCTTCAACAGTAATCAATTTTCTTCAGTAGCATTTTTAATAAACCTAATTTTACACATTTAAATTATTATAGGGGTTGGAACCTCTCGTTCTGCGTGCTTACAGCTGTTAATAATTACGAACATAACGTGAACAGCCATGTTATAAATTAGCAATCACCCCTCCTGCCATATTTTCTTCCTTTGATCCCGAGCTGACGAGCCGAGAATCGACATATTTCGACGAAAACTTCTTTAATTATGCGAAAATATTGTTGTTCGTTGTTCAAAAAAATTCAGAAAAAATAATAATAAATAGGAGAAGAATAATATGAATCTCCAAATGCGTACGGCAACCTTCGCACAAGCGAATATGATGAATTAGCTAGGTTACCAGGTTTGAACTATTATCGCCAAATTTGGCGATGTTTACATTTACCGGTTCTCTGCGAAAGTGCTTCCCTTTTTAGTGGTACTTTTTTTCCATGTGACCAAGCAAAATTTTATCTAATATACGAATCATGCAAGTTCTGGAAGAGATTTTTTCTACCTCACATTGCAGTAATAACTTTTTATTGCCAATACTTTTCAAATTTCTAATGTTAGAATCTTGAACTAATAATTTTAATTAACGAAATGTAGTATTGAAGGCCTTAAATGAAATTAAAAACCTTTCTTATGTTTAAAAATAATTTATGATTAGTGTTATGGAAATCTTTAAATTATTTTAAATGTAGCCTTATATTTGGCACTTAAAATATACTTGCAGCAATTTTCACATTTTATCTGATATTTTTTTTATTTTATCAGTTTTCTATAAAAATGCAAATTCATAGCATATTATTTTTTTCATTCGGGATGTCGAGTGATCGACTAATTTATTTATATCTCTTGCTTAGGAAAGGAAAGCAGCTACCAAAACATGATATCGATTTTTGTTGTGGTACAACATCTTTGAAAATCCAGAGAGAAGATTCTTTGGATTCCCTAAGGATCCTGTGAGGTAAGAGTTTGTAACTTATATTTACATACACTGCATAATTTATAAATATTTTATTATTATTATCATTATCCTTTGTCTTTAGTAAATAGTACATTATCAATAATTTCAGGTAGTATTTTTTTTTTGCAGTAAACTACTTCATAACTATCTCTTTAATTTTAACTAAACCTAAACCAGATGGTACTTTGACTATTTAATAAAAATTATTGTAAAATAATAAACATTAATGCATTAGTATTCTAATGTGTAGCCAAGTTTTCATTAAAATTACTTCACGATGTACATCTAGTACGATGCTACATCTTCACTAGCAATAAATTCATTAAATCAAAGAAAATGAAGTTACTCTTTTCTGATTTTACAGGTCAAAACAGTGGGATGCTGCCTGCAATAAAGATCTGCTCAGCAAATTTGCAGATGAATTATACAGAAAAGGAAAAGTGTGTTCTATACACTTCACTGAAAGTGACTTCCGTACAACCTACATTCCTGTGCTGTACCAAAGAGGTTGAATCCAGAGAGAATGCTTCTCACACCTAGGGCAAACAGGTAAACATAATTCTCTATACATTTATGTAAAATTAAATTTTATTAATTGTGATAATGTATGTTTTATCTTGTTTTATAATTTCAATTTTTAACTGTGCATTTCGTGTTCAATGAATTAGTTATTTTTGTATGGTTTAGTGATGCATCAGTAGCGCTGGATGCAAACCATTTATTTTTTATATGAAGGTTCATTGAGTAAAGAAAAATACTTTTCATGAATCCTAACAATGAAAATTTAATTTTTTCCTAATGACCATTTATCATTGAAAAAGCTTGTAAGCAGTTTGTTTTTTTGTTTGTAAAGTAAACTATTTTTCCCATAAAAATCAGTTGGAGGAATCAATGTCATTCTTGGATCACAGGTGATTACTTATTTAAAATAATTGACTACAGTACCTTGTGTATAAGTTCACAACTTAAAAAGCAATTGAAAATCATTAAAGAGCATTGCTGCTTCTGAGTTTTGGCATTTTTTTCCTTGCTGAACTAATTTTTGTGCCCTTTTAGTATTACCACATGTTTACTGAAAACATCTAAACCCAAAACTAGAGGCATAAATATCGTATCGTTTTGTGATAAAAATGAGAAGATGGATAACAAAGAATCTTTTGTCAGTAAGAATAAGGTTGGTAATTTTTTTTTTTTTTTTTTTTTTTTTGTTAGTGCACATATTGGCTGATATTTTTTAATGTAGGGTTATATCCAGGTTATATTATCTTGCTGGGGCAAGATGGTGCACAGCATGTAGGTGGCCAGATTTAAGGGCAACAAAATGATTATCAAACATATCTCTGTAAAAAAGGGCAGCCAGTTTTAATTTGCACGTCAGTGGCCAACAGTTTAGAATCTGCACTGGGTCTATCACATTGTACTTAAAAATCTATAAACTAATATTTCACTACAGTAACTCAGTAAAGAAAATCATAAGGCATAGAGCGATTCATAAAATAAAAAACAGCTCAAATAAATACAAGCTGTGTCAGTAATGATAAGTAATTTAAGAATAACCGAAAAGGTCTTCCAGAAATACTCAATACTGTAAAATTGTTAACTTATTAAATTGCAAATTTGTACTGTAAAGGATTATGTATTATGTTATATTTAAATGAAGTATTTTTTATATTTATTCTTATTAGATGATGAAAGTCAAAAGACCGTGGACGTAGTACATACTGAAACAATGTCACTGACTCAAATAGCAAAAACAGATGAGACTCAAGAACTGCCATATGTAAATGAGGACCAAGAGAAAGAAGCAATTAAAACGCCAGATACAAACTGCAGAGTTTACACTCCAAAGAGTTTAAAAATAAAGAGTGACAGCAAGTATCGTATTAAGAAAAAGTATTGCTGCGGCAAGAATTCTGTAAGAATAGTAGATATACTTAAGATAATTCAACCAATGGTCAGTCCAGTAATTTACAGTTTTATTAAAGGGCAATTAAAAGCATCATCAATATCAAAATATGGACGACGATGGTCCTGGAGGACAAACTTATGCCTTCAGATCTATTTGAGTAGTCCTAAAGCATATGATACTTTAAAGGCTTTTTTTAACTTGCCAAGTAAGCCTACATTACATAAAACTATTTCTGCTATTTACCTGGAACCTGGCTTTTCAGCTGCTGTACTTCAGTCTTTGAGGTTAGTTGTCAGTAACCTGAAATGCCAAGACAAATATTGCATTTTGTCTTCTGATGAGATGACTTTAAAACGTGGTCTCTCATATGATAAAAAAAAAAGGATCGTATTGTTGGATTTGAAGATTATGGTTCCTACACTAAACCCATTGTAATTCCCCAGTATGCAACTCATGCTCTTGTTTTTATGGTGCATGGGCTGTGTAAAAAGTGGAAACAGGTTTTTTTTTTTTTTTTTTTTTTTTTTTTCCTTCTCACACCACACCAAGTGATATGTTATGTACTTTGGTTATGTAAGCCCTTTCAAAATTATTTTATTGTGGTTTGACACCTGTGGCACTTGTATGCCATGGTGGAGCTAATAATATGATGTGCTACACCAAAGCTATGAGAGTTACAGAAGAAAGACCATACATTATGTGCCAAGATAGAAAGGTGTTCACAGTTTTTGATGTGCCTCACCTGTTAAATGCTTGAGAAACAATTTATTAAATATATGAAAGTTTTTGAATGATAAGGATGCTAGTTGGGAGCACATAAAATCCTTGTGGGAATTTGATCGTCAAATGCCTCACCGAATTGCTCCAAAATTATCTGACCGCCATGTTAATGTAGACGGCCTTAGTACTATGAATGTGAAATTGGCTGCACAAGTCTTCAGCCATTCTGTGGCTGCTGGGTTGTGCTTCCTGAGTGCAGTGGGTCGTCTGCCAGCATCGGCTAGTCATGCAGCTGATTTTTGTTCAAATGTCAATAAGTTATTTGACAGTTTGAACAGCAGAAAAATTAATCATAATAACCCTTTCCTTTCAGCTGTACATAAGAATTCTATTCACATGGAGACTTGGCTACAAATGCTGGATTTAATTAAGTCAATTGAATTCCAAACAAAAAAGAAATATCCTTTCCCACTTTATTTGGATGGAGATTGACTCTTTCTGCATTCCAGCATTTAATCCCTATTCTCCTAGAGAATGTTCCTTTTATTTTGATGTGTCGCTTCACTCAGGACGCCTTAAAAAATTTTTTCTCTGTTGTCAGACACAGAGGTGGGAATAATGACCATCCTACTGCATATGATTTTCAACAGAGAATGAGATTTCTAATAGCACAGAATGTAATTAGCATAAGTAGGTTATCAAACTGTGAACCTGATCATGATGTAAGCACCTCAGCAGGTATCAAAACTACCTGCTGAGGTGCTTACAGTTAACAAGAACTCTGTTTGGCAATGAAGAAAATGGATTTTGATGACCCGTTGCTCCCATTAACTGAGACTGCGGGTAATGCTGTAGATATTCCTATTGCAGGTGCAGTATATGATGTATTTGAGCAAAACTCTTCAGCCTATGTTGCTGGTTATATAGCTAAACGGGCATTAAAACAGTTTCCTTTGTGCCTGTTGTGCAAAAGTGTTCTTGTTTCAAATAAAGATTTAGACACCCACACCTATTTTTTGCATTTCAAAGAGTATGATTTTATGAAAGATGGATTGTGTTACCCCTCACATCAGTTTATTTTAGCTGTGTGTGAGATGGGTAAAAGGTTCAAAACTGTGTTTGAGAAAATATGTAATTATAAAAATGTGAAATCCAAAATTATAGCCGAGCTGAAAACTATTGATCATGATTGGCTTAAATGCCATCTTCATGCCTCTCAGTTGTGGCAACATATTGTCAACTCATGCATGCAACTTCTTTTATGTTTCAAAATCAAGGAAACTAACAAAGCATTATCAAGTGTGAAAAAAGCCCAAAAAAAAAAAATTAAAAAACTAAACTAATCATTTTATATGTGTTTCATTTCTATTATTAGTGTTTATTATATTATTATTTTTATTATATATTTATTTATTTATATTTATTAATCATTTTGATATGTAATTATTTTTATAGTTGCCAACTCTACCAGTTTTTTTTTTTGACCTGTGCCTGATAGATCATTGATCTTCACGTTTATAGAATTAAAACTTAAAATCATATAAATACATTCCCCCACCTAGAGAATTTTGGATACTTTTTCTATTCAGGTTTATTTAATATATATATATATATTTTCAGTTTATAGTTAATGTTATTTATGCTATGAAGTGTCCATTTCAGTTGGCAGCTATATGTTTGTGTATAATATTTTTTTAAGAATGTCATAAAACTTATTATAGTTTTTTGAAAAAAATAGATTTGATGTACTATATAATATTTTTTAAATTATTTTCAAAGTTATGAATACGTCAAAAGTCTTTAATCCGACTTGTCGGACTAAGGCGATTCCGGATATAGATATCAGTTAAATCTGGTACGATGCATGCAGAAATTATACAATTAAAAATATAAAATCGTATATGAATAAAGAGCACTGTGATCTAAGGATATCAAAATTACAAAAAAAAAAAAGCTTAATATTTATTGTTTACTTTATTAAACATTTCTTCAAGCGCGCATGCGTAAAGCATACATATGCATAGTTGAAATTAGAAAATTGCAACCAGAAAACTATTTGTGTATATTTGTGTATTTTAATGAATTGATTTAAAACATATCAAAGACAGAGTACATCGAGATGAAATATTACACTTAGTAAAGAACTATAACGTATAGTCGAAATTAGAAAATTGGAACCAGAAAACTATTTTATGCGTATTCATGATATTTATAATGACGAGGAAATTGATTTAAATCATATTGGAGTACATTGAGATGAAACACTACATTTAGTAAGGAATTATAAGCCGAATAAAATAAAAATATCTACCCTGAAGATGAGGATAGTGGTGATAGATCAACTTCCAGTTCATTGCGCGCCACGAGCCCCCCTTGCAGAGCAGATCCAATTCGAAGATTAAGGAACAACGCAATCTGAAATAACGCGACTGAAATAGATCATTTTAGCTTAGCTTATACCGTCGGTTATACATTAAACGTGCATGCATAGACACATTATGCGTTTTGCCAGAAAGTTTATAGCTTTTAGGTCCGGGTTATAGATCATTGCAGATTAAAGACTTTTGACTGTATAATGTTTGTTTGCTGAGAGTACAGTAGGAGATTTTGTATTTTTAATGAAAATCATCTAGCATAATAACTGCTTTTTCTAAGGCAGCCACAACTTTATCAGCTATCCAATATATATACAATGGCTCACAAAGTGTTCGTACACTTAAGAGTTTCAGTGACATCTTGCTTTATTTATTAACGAAAATTAATATTTGTGAATGAGAATGTTTTAATAATATCTATTAATTTTTAGAAAAATTAGCAGAAAAGTTACCCTGAAAAGTCTTTGTACATTTGAAAGAAATCTACACATATTAGTAAATATTGTAGTATATTGTAGGATATCCTGCAGCACTAATGACAGCTTCTACTCCTTACATTTTAAATTTTAGAAAATATAAACATGTCAGTATTTAAAAAAAGAAAAGTTTAGTTTTACTCAAAATTGCATGAAGATGATATGAAAAAATATTGGGCTTTATATTCCAATTCATTTCCAGGCTACACCACTTTTTCTACAAATTTTTAAAGTGTCCGAACACTTTTAGGATCCACCGTATGCACACAATCTTAATGCACATGTATATATATATATATATGTACTGCTTTCAAATGTTAATTAAAAATAAGTAAAAGATAAAAATAAGAATCTCTATAGTTTGAAGCTTATACAATCATTTGCTGGGGGAGTGAAAAGTTTAAAACTATTGACTTGCAAATATGCTCATGATATACTGATTCTTGTTCATTGTTAGTTCATGTAACATTTAATATTTTGGCATATTCTTTTTATTATGAATTCTAATATGATGTTTGAAAATTGCTAATCTGAGTTCTAAAATTTGGAAAAAGAAGTTTTTATTTTGTCAACATTGGTACATTCTGATCATCTGTATTCCCAAGAAAAATTGCAAACTATTCATGACTTTGAGAATTGGCAAAGGGAATCTATTTAGCTATATTTACAGCTCGCAGCAAAAAAAAAAAAAAAATTCTGTCCACAAAGCATTATATGGGAGCGAGAAAATTTTTTATATAGTGAAAGTTTATATTTTTGCAATTGCTGGATATTGTTTATAACACTTAAATTAAATTGTATTTAAGTTTGCATGTTCTCCTAACTGTTTATACATGTTTATTATGTAGTACTGCATGCATACTCGTAAATGTCAAAAGCTTACTGTACTGTAAGTTGAAATTGTGAGGATAATCAGAAAGTACTGAGCATTTTTTCTTTTTCTTTTTCCAACAAATTTATTCCAGTAAATTAAAAATGTACTCCTTACATTTGTTAATACTATTATGTTTATAATTTCATTATCCAAATTTGGATTTTAATATACTATAATTTTGGAATTTTTTAATCTGATCTGTTGTATAAGTAAAATATAATTAATTTTATATTTCTCATAACATGTATAATCCCAAAATTCATGAAATTATTAAGAAACTCCTCAATCGGTTTCTTTTTTATTTTAAATTTAGTGTGTGTGAGAAGCAATATCTTGAAATATAAATATGTATTAAAGTTGTCTATTGAAAATTGTATGTTATGTATGATTGGAAAAAATTAATTAATTAAGAAAATGATTTTATTATTTTTCGTTACGTTTTTATGGGGAATTTTGTGTCTATTTT